TTAAATTTAAATTTAATATATATATTTATTATTATTATTATTATATTATATAAATTATATTATATAAAATTATATATAAATAAAATTTTATTTTAAATATAAACACAAAATTATATTTTTATTTAAACAAATAATATTATCTAATTTAGTTTTTATTTATTTTTATCGTTTTTATTTCTTAAATATTTTAAAACTATTAGTTTGACTGAAGATTAATTGCTTTAAATTATGTGAATCATTGCTTTGCTATGATAAAGTGTTCCAGAATGTGGTGAAATGAAAGAAAGGCTCATGCACTGGTAAATAAATACATACATTACTCTGCATTGATAAGTTAGTCTGTAAAACAACAGTATTTTATTAACTGTAATTCTCGATCAGTGCGACAGGAATCAGTTTACAGTCACTCATTTTCTCATATTTGTGAGACATTCCTCAGCTGTCTGAAGACTGATCATCTCAGCTATTATTATTAATTACTGTAGTAGTATTTTTGTGCTTTGAGATGCATTATTGTCTTTTCGAAATCATAATTTGTCATTTTCATCAACATCTTTGAATGTGTGTGGGAGTTAAAAATTAGTTGTCAACATTTTATTGAACTTTACATGTGTCACACTATATGACCTCATGATAAACTGATATGAAGAAGATACTGGTCCGATCCAGATAATGATATTGATATGGCACGATGTTGAGTGAGATAATTTAAACCTTTGCTCTCATTTCACCATCACACACATCAGAAACACACGCATTCACATTGCTATATTATCTTTATTATCAATGTTAAAAACAATTTGTGCTGCTTAATATGAAAACTGTGATACACTACCATTCAAAAGTTTGGGGTAAATACAATTAAAAAAGGGAAATAAAGGAAAAGGCGCACTTTTGTTCATCAATGACGCATTAAATTGATCAAAAGTGACGGTAAAGACATTTATAATGTTACATAAGATTTCTATTTCAAATAAATCCTGTTCTTTTGAACTTTCTGTTCATCTGTGAATCCTGAAAAATAAAATGCATCACAGTTTCCACAAAAATATTGTGCCGCAGCACAACTGTTTTCAACATTGATAATAATCAGAAATGTATCTTGAGCAGCAAATCAGCATATTAGAATGATTTCTGAAGATCATGTGACACTGAAGACTGGAGTAATGATGCTGAAAATACAGCTGCGCATCACAGAAATAAATTACAGTTTAACAGATATTCACATAGAAAACAGCTGTTTGACATCATAATAATATTTCACAATTTTCACAATATTTTTTATCAGCCTCGGTGAGCAGAAGAGACATCTTTCAAAAACATTGAAAAATTTTAATTATTCCAAACTTTTGGCCATCAGTTTATATCTAAACATTTTTAAATGTACAAAAATATTGTGCAGCACAACTGTTTTCAACATTGATAATAATCAGAAATGTATCTTGAGCAGCAAATCAGCATATTAGAATGATTTCTGAAGATCATGTGACACTGAAGACTGGAGTAATGATGCTGAAAATACAGCTTTGATCACAGAAATAAATTACAGTTTAACAGAGATTCACATAGAAAACAGCTGTTTGACATCATAATAATATTTCACAATTTTCACAATATTTTTTATCAGCCTCGGTGAGCAGAAGAGACATCTTTCAAAAACATTGAAAAATTTTAATTATTCCAAACTTTTGGCCATCAGTTTATATCTAAACATTTTTAAATGTAATTTTTGTTTTGCTATAATAAAGTGTTCTGGAGTGTTGGTGAAATGGAAGAGAGAGCAGCTAATGTTTATAAATTATATTATATAAAACTAAAACAAAAAGGAAGAAAAGCTCATGCATGTATCAAACACATCTAGACTTTAAAAAGTTAATAGAGTTACTAGCTACACACAGTCTGTTCATCCACACTCGCAAATTCACCAGCATTTAAATGCAACAGGTTGGTGTGTGTTTATTCAGAGATGCCTTTTAGAAGCGTCTTTGCGAATCGCAATAGTTGAACTATAGCGCCATCTACTGTGCGTTTCAAGAAATACAAAGATAATCAATAGCCTGATACGAGTAATTTTAGGACTGGATTTTACATGCTTTTATATGTGCTATCAAACATATGATTACAGCATCATGCGTGATGACACATTATTACTATTTTTAGTTTGTCCAATGCATATTGATTCTTACTTCCTGTATATAGATCAAATTAATCTAGCCAATAATTCTATATAATCAGAAGAGGAAAGTATATATGTTATATGTTATATAGATTTAGTATGCAATTTCTGAAAAGCATGATATTTTTCCTGCTTTCGTTTAATTTAAATACCACCGTGTGTTTAGAGTTGATTTTGGGCACGTCATCATTACTCGCCCGCTGAGACTGTTATCCATAGAAATAGAAAAAGATGATGGAGTGTGTGTTGGTATGAAACCTCTGTATAAAATGGGAGGGGTTAATGGCCCAGACTCTGTCTCTAATTGGCCAGGTGCAATTATTGCCATGATTCTTACCATGTATCAGCAGACATGGGAGAAAAAAAAAAACTGAAGTCAAAATAATAATAACAATACATGTAAATAAAACGGAAAATAATTTCATAAACAATAATGTTAAATAACACACTTAAAAATAAATCCAAATAAACCATAAACTATAATTTTCATATTTTATTCAAAGTCAAAGTCAAAGTCTGCTTTATTGTCAATTCTGCCACATGTACAGCACATACATACAGAGAATTGAAATTGCGTTACTCTCAGACCCTTGGTGCATACAGTTAACACTTAACACTAACAGTAGACATAATACAGATAAATACAGTTTAAATATATATAAAATACAACCTATACAATATACAAATAAGGACATTGTAAAAAAAGAGAAAAAGTGGCATAAGGCACATGGCAGTTATAGTTCAAACCAGTGATATAAACAACTGAGATATAACGAGAGTAGTGCAAAAGAGCTTATCAGTCTGTTAAAGTGATAAAGAGCTCAGAGAACAGTCTTTATTTAAGCTGTCAGAGAGGTAATGAGCAGTCCATTCAAAGCACTTCATGAGGATGGGGGTAAGTGCAATTGGACGGTAGTCATTGAAGCAGGATGGAGACGACTTCTTCGGGACTGGAATGATGGTGGTAGCTTTGAAGCATGTGGGGACAACAGCCTGACTTAGCGAGATGTTGAAAATGTCTGTGAAGACATCAGTGAGTTCCACTGCACAGTCTCTCAGTACACGCCCAGGAATGTTGTCAGGACCCGGAGCTTTGCGTGCACATTGTATACTATGTGGTATGTGTGTATGCTATTCTTTTTTTTATTATTATCAAAGAGCAAAAACATATAATATTTTTTATCAAGAAACAATATCAAAAAGAAGGAAAGGAAAATAAAAAATAAAAAAGATAGAAAGACAAATGACAACAAATAAAAGTTGCCAGGGGGAGGTAAGTAGGCTATTAAAGTTCAAAACAAAGATACAAGATATACATACATACATTCATACATTCATACATATATATAAAAATCAAATAAATATATTATAAAGTTCACAAGTTCTTACAGCTTTCTTATTCAAAGAGTCTCTGATACTGTCAATATATATATATACATATTTCAGTCAAAAAACTATCAAATTGGGTTTCTTATTGGTAAATGTACACTTATGAATGTGAATTAAAAGTAGTGTTCCTCTTGCTCAGAATAGTCAGTAAAGCCAGAGTACATTTTCCCATAAGAGTGAAAAAGGTCTTAAACACTGAATATTTTCGTTAATCAGGTGTAACAATAACCCGGCTGCTGGATAATAGTCACGTGGCACCTGTTACATTTCTCCGCGTTGATTGGATGTGCCAATCGCAGCCGTGTGTGATGAACTCCAATTTTACAGCGATTGCAAGCAGATTTCAGTGTATCCCAGATAGCACAGGTACGTCTGCAAGACGTCTGTTAAACATCGCTTCATCTGGAAAGCATCTGCTGTGTACAAACATCTGATAGACGTCTTTAAGATGTCAGTTTTCAATCATAAACATCTTAAAGACATCTTCTAAACGTCTATTTGACATCTGATAGGAAACGTCCTGTAGATGTATTGCAGATGAGCAAACACTCTAAGAAATACGTCTCGCAGATGTCAAACAGACGTGATGTAGGCCTGCGCGTGCTATCAGGGATGTCAAGTATGGATTGTTTTACATATGTATACTTATTACCACATGAACGTCAGCAACAAAACAAAACACCTCGCGAGATTTGAATGGGTTTCAATAGAGAGCTGCGCTTTGTGGGCCAGCGAGCGCCACCTGGAGGAAACACACGCCTCTGCGTCTCATAGGAAACTGTTATTCAACATTCGCGGCTCAATGGTGCGCCCTCCGTGTGTTTATTCAATCATCTGGCGTTTCTGAGTAGTTCAGCGATGGAGGTGAACCGGGATGAAGCGGAGCGATGCATCGAGATCGCGATCGGAGCGCTGGAGGACGCACAGCCGGAGAAAGCGCGCAGGTTCCTGGAGAAAGCGCAGCGGCTTTTCCCGACGCGGAGAGCGCGGGGTGAGCGCACTGAACCCGGGCTAATCCAGGCCTGATCGGTTACCCTTCTACAGTGCTCATACTGGATCGTATTTGCTGCTCACTGAATTCATATATTCAGGGGAAACGCGCAGTTTTGTGTTGTATCCGCGCGCGTTACGCATGGAAATCTCATGCTGCTCGAACCTGCCGTTCTGTTTTAAACACAGAGATGTGATTGTTTAGTGTTTACACTAGTGTGTGTGCTGCTGTATCGTTATAGAGCACTGCTATGATGATGATGATGATGATGTAACTATTGCATTAACAGCATTATTGCATTCAGGTGTTAATCTGGCTGTGTCTCAAATCCCAGTGAGCTGCCTGGTTAGACAGCAATATTAGGGCAAGACGTTCACGTGCTGAAACGGTGTTGCCCATAAATGTTGTTTAGGTCAGCATGTCACTCACTCAGTACTGCTGCATGTTCATATGATGACCGTAGTTGCGTTCTATGTAGGGAACTCACTAGGTTATGAGACACATCTTTAAATGATGCTGCAATAGTTCACACAAAAATGAAAATGTGCTGTAAATGTGCTTACCTTCAGGCCATCCGAGATTAGGATGAGTTTGTTTCTTCATCAGGTTTGGAGAAATGCAGCATTGCATCAGTGTCTCAGCAATGGATGCTCTGCAGTGAATGGGTGCCGTCAGAATGAGAGTCCAAACAGATGATAAAAACATCACAATAATCCACAAGTAATCCACAGCACTCCAGTCCATCAGTTAACATCTGGAGAAGACAAAAGCTGAAACAAATCCAGCATTAAGACGTTTTAACTAAAATACCGTAGAGTTCATAATCCATAATAACGCTTCTCCAGTGAAAAAGTGTTCTGGTGTGAATCAGGAGAGAAATCTGCACAGATCAAGCAGCGTTTAAACAGCTCTAAACAAATATGTGGCTGGATTTTGATGTGAGAGACAACAGGAGATGCACTTTTTCACTGGAAGAAGTGTTATTATGGACTCGTATTTGAGTTCAAAACGTCTTAATGCTGGATTAGTTTCAGCTTTTGTCTTCTCCAGATGTTAACTGATGGACTGGAGTGCTGTGGATTACTTGTGGATTATTGTGATGTTTTTATCAGCTGTTTGGACTCTCATTCTGACGGCATCCATTCACTGCAGAGCATCCATTGCTGAGACACTGATGCAGTGCTACATTTCTCCAAACCTGATGAAGAAACAAACTCATCCTGATCTCGGATGGCCTGAGAGTGAGTAAACATTACGCAAATTGAAATTTTTGGATGAACTGTTCCTTTAAGTAGGCTGCTCATTTGTATGACACCCTAAAAAGGCTGCATGTTCCCAGAAATGATGTTGTCTACGTAGGGAGCTGTGCCACTGTCACTCAGATGAGTTTTGTTCATTTGCCCGTGTTTTACTCCTGACTGTTGGCTGATTGGCAGAGCTGCTGGTGTCTCTGGAGCAGAGCAGCGCCGCAGGAGCCGCTGATGGCACAGAAGCTCGTCAGCGCAGGTCTGAGGTCAGCAGTAACGGCGCGGCACCTGCCGACTCCAGTAAACCCTACACACCTGAGCAGGCCGAGGCTGTCAGAAGGTGCGTTCAGTGTTTTCACTTTACCAGTGTGTCTCACAGCTTCTGTTTCACAAACAACCTCCTGCCAGCTAGTTCTTAAAGGGGTCCTATTATGCTCTTTTACAAAGTCTTGATTTTGTTTTGGGGGTGTACTAGAACAGGCTCTCATACTAGGTTGTTCGAAAAACACATTATTTTTCACATATTTTACATTATTACAACTCCTCTTTCCCCAGTCTGGCATGAACGGCTCGAATAGTTCCTGTATCAAATGAAGGCCCGCCTTCTGAAATACGAAAAGTGCTGTTATTGGTTAGCTGGGCCAGTGTGTGTTGTGATTGGCAGCACTCGGCGCCTGGTCGGGAAATGTCATGCCCCTTACCATAGCCGTCTGCGAGCTTCAGTGTAAATATTGCGTCAAAATCAAATCAATTTGAGCGCGATTTAAACCTGGATGATTGTAACCACTCTAAGTTCGTCTGCCTTGGGAAAGCTAGCGTGTCTCTGACATAGTGATAACACTCATTACCAGGTCTCGTCCCATTCGTCGATATTTGTGATATCACAAATCCTGGAAAATATGCGTTGTAGTCCAAACGAGTCGTTCGTTGTAGTTTTTGAAAAGTGATTTCTGTTAAATAAAATATCTCCTTTTGAAGTGGACTTTGAGCTTTGTAACTTCGCAGATCTTTTTTATGCTCAAACAGCAACATTACAGACTGACTAAAGTTGAAAAAGTGAAAACGCATAATAGGACCCCTTTAAAGAAATCATATTCTCTGTTTTACCCTATTTTCCATGTTAAGTCCACTTATGCTAGTCAAGGTTTCGTGAACCAAAGGCAGGAATTTAGTTTTTCATGATTTAAAAATGTACCTAAATATATAGACCTCAACAGATATTATTCCATACGATCCAAATCAGTGTTTTTTTTACTATTATTTATATACTATTATAGTATTCATTAACATTTGAATTAGCTTCTATATTTGTTTTCAGATTTTTTTTAGCGAAGTTTTAGTAATTTTGTCATGTGCTTTTATCATTTTTATAGTTTTCTGTTTTTTTCTGTTTCTATTTAGTTTTATTTCAGTTTAGTAATTTCTTATGTGTTTTTGTAATTTATATTTATTTATTATATATTTGTATTTAGTTTTAATTTAGTTTGATTTCAGTTTGTTTTAGAATTTTTTTTATTAAAAATGTTTTAGTAATTTTAGTACTTAAAATTAAACATTTTATTCAAAAAGATCTAATTTAGTGTTATTTTAGTATTATTTATGTACTATTATAGTGATTATTAATATTTTGATTTAGCTTTTATTTTTATATTTTCAGATTTCAAGTTTTAGTAACTTTGTAATGTGCTTTTGTCATTTTTTTAATATTTCTATTTAG